GGGAGGAGGTAACTATGGGGAGGAAGTGGGAGGGGAGCTGCTGCATTGTAAATTTTGGTCAATGACATGAGACAAAGTGTATGTGAACTGCTGTATGAAAAGTGAATTTACTCTGTAAATCTTCACCTAAATAAATAAATAAATAAATAAATGTATGTTTTGGGAATGGACACCAGCCAGCCAGACTTGGCTCCTGGGGGGCCTGGCCCCCAAGGTCCTGACTCCATCCAGCTTTGGAGCCCTTGTGGGGAGGCTGGGGCCGCAGGACCCAACCCACCACGATGTCTGCAGAATTCCAGGTGGAGGACCCGGCTTGTTCCCGGCTGCTCCTGATCTGGAGGCCCCTCTCCTTGAGACCTGGTTTGCCCCCAGTAAAATGGGGGTCGTCATCCCTGCCTTTAGCCCCCAGTAAAATGGGGGTCGTCATCCCTGCCTTTAGCGCCCGGTAAAATAGGGGTCATTATCCCTGCCTTTAGCGGTGGTCATGAAAATGAAATGAAGTCAGGAGTATGCAGCACAATGGTGGGCATGTAATAGGCGCTCAATAAATGTTGTTAGGTGCCATGGAGTTGGCTGCAACTCATAGCAAGCCCATGTACAACAATGAAATACTACCCAGTCCCGTGCCAGCCTCACAATCACTGCTCTGGCTGGGCGCATCATCCAAGCCACTGTGTCAACCCACCTTCCTGAGGGTCTTCCTCCTTTTTGCTGACCCTCTTCATTACCAAGCATGATGTCTTCTCCAGGGACTGCTCCCTCCTGACAACACGTTTAAAGTACATGCCATCCTCACTTCCAAGGAGCATTCTAACTGTACTTCCTCCAACATAGACTTATTCCTTCTTCCTTCTGGCAGTCCATGGCATAGTCAGTATTTTTCGACACCATAATTCAAATGCATCCATTTTTGTCAGTCTCCCTTACTCACTGCCTAGCTTTCACATGCATTTGAGGCAACTGAAAATACCATGCCTTGGGTTGGCTGTACCTTATCCTCAAAGTGGTTTCTTTGCTTTTTAACACTTCAAAGAGGTCTTTTGTGACAGATTTGCCTGATGCAATGTGTCCTTTGATTTCTTAACTGCTGTTTCCATGGCTGTTGACTGTGGACCCAAGTAAAATGAAATCCTTGGCAACTTCAGTCTTTCCTGTTTATCATGCTGCTGCTTATTGGTCTAGTTGTGAGGATTTTTGTTTTATGTAGAGATGTAATCCATACTGAAGGCTGTAGTCTTCGATCTTCTTCAATAAATACTTCAAGTCCTCTTAGCTTTCAGCAAGCAAGCCTGTGCTGTCTGCGTAGGGCAGGTTGTTAGTGAATCCTCCTCCAACCCTGATGCTGCATTCTTCATTGAGTCCAGCTTCTCCGATTATTTGCTCAGCACAGACTGAATAAATACAGCGAAAGGATGCCACCCTGACACACACTTTTCCTGATTTTAAACCATGCAGTATGCCCTTGTTATGTTCAAATGACTGCCTTTGGGTCTATGAACAGGCTTTCTATGAGTACAATTAAGTATTCCGGAATTTCCATTCTTGGAAATGTGGTCCGTATCTGTTATAATCCACACAGCCGAATGCCTTTGCATAGTCAATAAAACACAGGTGAACACCTTCCTAGTATTCTCTGCTTTCACAGATGTCCTCATCTCCTGGAAACAGCCTGGACAGGGGCTCCGACCTAATGCGGTGGGAATCCTTACGGATCAGGGCTCTCCCAACCCCACGCACATATGGGGAAGCAACTGGGTGGAGGACCTCCTGAGGTCACGGGGTGGGGTCAGAGCAGAGGGGACCTGGGCTCCGAAATGAAGAGCGACGACAACCTCACCCACCAGGGGAAGCCGTGACACCCACGCGCGCGCACAGCCGGCGACTCCGGCGCACACCAGCCAGCGACTGGGGTTTCCTGGCCGATCCCCTCCCGGCCCCGCCCCGTCCCCAGCGCGCCCTCAAGTTTCTCCGAACTTTTCCGCCGCCCGCTCGGCGCCCCGCCCGCCGCCGCTGACGTAACAATGGTGCAGCGCAGCGGCCAATGGACGGCGGCGGGGGCCGGCGGCGCGGTCC